GTACAGGTGTGCTGCTGTGCACCAGACACTTACGTGGTGCTGGGGACTTGGTATGCACAGCCCAGGGAAGACTGGAGGGGCCTCGGGTTATTTATAAACACATGTGTTCTTTACCATCACCAGGTCCCCAGGGTGCAGACCAGTCTCCCATCTATTTTAGGAAATTAAGGCTCCTGGACGCAGACAAGGTCTTTCGTTAGCTGGGCACCCGGCCAGAACTGGTCCTTCCTCTCTACTATTTGTCAAACTCTTAGACATCCTCAAAGGCTGGGAAAAGTGAGTCCCCCCTGGTACCTCCTAAGAAAATGTGAGCTGAAGCAGGGAAAAGTGGGTCCCAGGAGTTATGCTATGCGTGGCAGTGGTGGGGAGGGCTGGCGATGTTTAGGCAGCTGAAGGATGTTAAGTAAAAATACCTCCTCCCTTTCGGCTGAATGAGCCTGTGTCATGTTACAGCCTGGTGCGGTTTGTGAAGTCGGAGACCACAGGCCGGCTCAGTTCCTGCTGCTGCCCGCTTCCCCTCCCCCTCCTCTTGAGATGTGTCCCCTTGCTCCTGCCCTGCTTGGGACCACATGGGCAATTGCAGGGTAGGGGAGAGAAAATCAGTGGGTGTGGTGGGTGAGGCGAGGCGGCTGAGGGCCAGGGCTGGGGTCCCGTCTGTGTCCCTGACAGAAGGAAGAGTGGAATTTGGCTCCTGCATGCCTTTCTAATGGACTCCAATGTCCATCGTACACCATAGGGTGGGGAGCAGTGTCAGAGCGTGGGTGGCTCTGAGTCAGAGTGCTTTGTGCTCAGCCTACTGACACGGAACCTTTGTGCCTAGAAGTGGCAGGTGAGCCTGATGCAGTCAGATGCAGAATTTCTGCGGTCCTACTTGAATTTGGACAGAGTCTACTAGAATTTGAGCAGAACCAATAGCCCCAATTGTGCAGACAGGAAGCTGAGAGTGGGGTTTTACTCCCAGACACTATTTCTTGATTTCCAATTCACCTTCAGCTTTTATTGTTTTGTTTACTATCCAAATAGTCTTAGGAAGGAAGAAATGTTGACTCTATTTTACAGATAAGCAAACTGAGACCTTCCTTGGGGGAGTGAAGCTGCTTACCCTCTTTACAGTAACCCTGATGTTGTCCTTAGGTTACCCTCTTTGCAGATGAGGAAACTGAGGCCCAGAACCCTGAGTCTCCTTGCCCTAGGTCCTTTCCCAGCTCTGTGCTCCGCAGTTAGCTCTGCACAGGGCCTTGGCACCTCCTGCACTCAGTACTTGATTTAGGGAATGGGAAATGGGTCTCACTATGCAGGCCTGCTCTGTAAACCAGACTGGCTTCAGTCTCACAGAGGTCCGCCTGCCTCTGCCTCCCAAGTCCTGGGGTTAAAAGTGTGCACCCTCGTCTGATCTGTTTTCTGTTTGGTTATTTGTTTTTTCTGGTTATAATGTCTCCCTGAAACCGGCTTTCCAAGAGGAATCCAGAAAGGGTTTGAGCCATGGAGCCTGGTAGAGGACTCTGATGAGGGGCCAAGCCCATGGCGGTGGGTTCCTTCACCGTGCTCCATTGGCTAAGCAAATGGTGTCTTGTTACTTTCCAACCTCATGGCTTTATCATTTGGGCCAAGTACTCAGCAAGCGAAGGATGTGTATTTCATGCATGTCAGCCTCCAGGGTGGAGCCCTCGGTGT